CGGACGGTACCGTACCTTAACGTAACCCCTACCCTCCTCTCTCTCTCTCTCTCTCTCTCTCTCTCTCTCTCGGTCTCTCGAGTCTTCCGTTCTGATAAAAAAAGAGACGGAAGGAGCATAGAAGCGGCGTGTCGCATCACCGGGCCAGTCTGCCACCATTCCCCAGCATTTAACGGGTCGCCCTCTTTAGACGGCCGCATCGCCGTCTCCTTTGAGCTCCTCACGTTTCTCCTCTTCCGCTTCTTTTTTTTAGCTTCGAAAGGCATGGATGAAACCGGCATTGGACCGATGAAGCAGTCGCCGGGCAACCCATTCTTGTCCGTCTCCAAACAACAGCAGCAGTACCATGTAAACCCCAATGCTACGCAAGCCATTGGGCCGTACTCCAACATTGGCGCCGAGTGTGGGAAGCGCTCAGGCGTCCCTCCCGCTTCCCCTTGCTCCCAGTTGCCGTCCCTCCCCCCTCGCTCGCCGCCCTTGGCGGTGGCCGCGCAGCAGCTGCCACCTGTCGCCCGCCACCACTCCCGTTCCCGCTCCCAACCGACCTTCTTCTCCCTCGACTCACTGCCGACCCTGATCTGCCGCGGCGACTCCTCGTCGACCACCTCCCTCTCCGACTCAGTATCAGCGGATGTCTCCATGGACGACCACGACGTTCCCAGCTCCCACTCCCCGCCACTCCCGCCCAATAACGTCGCCGCCGCCGCCGCCGCCCAGGAAAGGGATGACCTTCCACCTCGCAAGACGCACCGGCGCTCCCAGAGCGACGTCCCGTCCGCCTTCTTTCCCCCGTCTCTGCCCGTGCAGGCCGCGACTGCCGCCCCTTTCGCCGGGGGGTTTCTGGACTCTGCTAAGCTGACGGTGGCGGGAGTGAAGCTGGAGAACCACTGGGACGTCGGATTGGACGCCGATGCCGTCTCGGGCGATGACTTGTTCAACGCTTACATGAATTTGGATGGCTTCGATGCGCTAAATTCCTCCGAGGACAACCGCGAGGATCTGAACAGCAGAGACAGCGGATCCAAGACGAATGCCGCTGACAGTAGCGAGAACGAAGCAGATAGCAAAGCGAAAGAACATCTGAAGGGCGGGCTGAAGCGAAATGCTGCAGGTGATCCTTCTCAGGTCATGGCGGCCTCTAGGCACTGTAGGAGTTTCTCGATGGACAGTTTCATGGGCAAGTTCAACCTCGAGGAGGAGCCGCAAAAGCTGCTGCCTTCCTCCGGATTGCGAGCGAGGCAGAGCTCTAAATCCAATTCATTTGACGTGGCGCCCAACACCTTCAGCTTAGAGTTTGGCAATGGCCTTTTTACTGCTGCAGAGATGAAGAAGATCATGGAGAACGAGAAGCTCGTCGAGATGGCAATGACCGATCCTAAACGCGTCAAGAGGTTTTCTACACTCAAAAGAAAACATTTTGTGCATGAATTCTCTCTCATCATCTCCGGCTAACTTGATCTCTCTGTCTCAGGATATTAGCCAACCGACATTCTGCTGCCCGCTCCAAAGAGCGTAAGATGAGGTACATCGCAGAGTTGGAACACAAGGTGCAGACATTGCAGACGGAAACCACCAATTTGTCAACGCAGCTGACTTTTCTGCAAGTGAGATTTGTTCTCTGTTTGTCCTCCATGTCCCCAAAACAGAGTTATAGCAAATATGGATTCCTCCTGCTTTAGGTTGTCTAAAAGTTGATCTACACCTCCATTCTCTTCCTATCTGCAGAGAGACTCAGCTGGGCTCACAAATCAGAACCACGAGCTGAGGTTTCGTCTTCAAGCTATGGACCAGCAGGCGCAACTGAGAGATGGTAAAGCCTATCGCTTGCAAAATTGGTGTCTGGGAGCTGATGTTAACCAATCCATTGTCGTGTCATTATGCAGCTCTGAACGAGGCTCTGACCGCAGAAGTGCAGCGTCTGAAGCTTGCTGCTACAGGGCTTGCTGATGCTCATCCTTCCAAGAGCTTGAATCAACAAGCATCCATGGATCCTCAGAGGTATCAACTGCAGTCAAAGCTGCAACGTGCACATGTGCCTCCCTACCAACTACAGAAACAACAGGATGACACGGTAATGGATTCCAGATCTGAGCAGTAATTTGACCAACAAGGGAGAATTGCTACATATATAGAAGAAAGTAATTGGTGGCTTGTTTAATTGTTTCTTCCAGCAATTGTGTAAATGAAGATTTGCTGTGTTTGGTGTAGGAGATTTGGTTTATTTGGGAGGACTAGAACATGAATTTTATGGAAATTGACCTATTCTTTAAATCATAACCATGCTGAAAGGTTTCGAATTGTATAGGTTGTCCTAAATCTATGTATTTTTGTCGAAGTTTGTGAAAGCTAGAATGAGATTGTGGTCCAACAAAAGATGCACGTTTCGCATTGTGATATTGGATTATATCCATCTTATTTTAAATTGACTTTATAAACTCCGAATTAATTCTAAGAGTAGAGTTCCGGAGGTAATTCTTTATGATTAAAGGTCTTCGATAAAATAGGACTAAATTAATATTTTTAGTAGTATTAGAAATAGATAACATGATATAATTAAGTTGAATAGGTAATAATTTTTTTGAAGTAAAAGTTTTAGTTATATTGGATCAATTATAAAAGTTTTAATATTTGAAATTGTAAAAGATGTCATAGTCCTCTATAAAAATATTATTGACGTCTTGATCAGTCCAACGTGGTTCGGATCCGTATCTGAAGGGTGTTGGACAATCTTGAGGGTGACCTCACATGCGCAGCGGAAGAACAGAAAATAAAATTTCTAATTTCTAAAGATATGTTCATCATCGTGCAAAGATTGGGGCGCAAAAAATCACGAAATAGAAAACTACGTGTGAGATAGATTGTGTTACATAGGAAGATTGTATATTCCTGAATCTATGTAGATCTCTAGGAGAGGGTGAAGGAGGTCAAGCGCCCTCCTCTTTAGCGGTGATCCACACAACAGGGCTACGATGACGCTCCTCAAAACTCCAGCGAGGTGGAGAGGGAGAGGAGAATAGGAAAGGAAGCAAAAGCTCTGGCCTATAAACAATTGAAGCCCTCCTATTTATAGAGATCCCTTATCAACTTAATCTTAATGGATCATCCCCTATTGGGTATTGGATCTTTATCCAACTACCCAAGCCTATTAGATTAGTGGATCTCTATCCAATAATCTCTCATGGAGTCTTATTTGATTTCATCCATAGGATTCAATAATTTAGGAGCTTATTGCATATCCAATAAGATAGAGGCTCCGACGGATATCTCATATCAGAACCTCTACTCATCGCAATGCCTATCATATGTGTGTGGTCGTCTAGGCCCAATATCGAACTGGTCATTAGTCATACCTATCAGAACTCTTTCTGGCTTAGTGAATTATTATATCTATAATAATTCACTCGACTCATCGATTACGGACGTACTCGGCCACTACGCTGTAGTCCCAAAATGATACAAGGGAATCCAATCCATTGGACATATCTATCATCAGTTATCGTATACCTATAGTCTCTCATCCATCTAATATCCCAAAGACCGTATACTGGACATGGTGTTGTCAGACCCATACTGTTTCTACTCGAGTCTCGCTCTAATCGGATTCTCTCGGAGAACTCTTTCTCTCTCAATCCGAATGACCCTGGCCAGAGATTTGTTTGAGCAAGAATACATTGGACATTCCTTTGATGACACTTAGAGTGGATGCTTCTCTATCGACACTCAATAGCTCTCGTAAGATTGACTACCACTCTTAATAACCGGCTGTGCTAGATCTGAGATATTCAAACCTATAAGTCTGATATCAAAGAGTGGAGCACTCATACAGGATATCCTTGGTATCTCAAGTTTAAGGACCAGACACACCACTAGGGCTACGGAATCGCTGTTTGACAATAAGGCATCATCAACCATTCAACATTCCGTAAGCGGATCAATCAGTGAACTCATTCCCTAATGAGCACCTGTATTGTATCCCTAGTGTCCCCACATGAGCAACTATGAGACCAGCTGCATCCATCATATGAATGAGTATATAATACACCAGTCTGTCCGGTTATCTCGATGTCCCTCTCGAGTAACCTATGACCGGGATTATTTATGATCTATGTTTAAAGGCAATTCGGTCTCATTATCGTGATCTTATCACGATCCGATTCTCATTGCACATATTCAAGTATATATATATGCAACATGCAATATAAAGTGATAAATATTAAAAGACTTACAGGGCACATATGAATTGCAGGGCACATATGACTAGCAAAAGGTTGTCCGATGTGCCTCCAAGGTAGAAATATAGAGATCCCGAGGTGCCACTTGCATAAGACCGAGGTCGGAAGAGGTTTCTCGACTCGATCCCTTTAATGCCTAAGTTAGTCATATGAGGTATATGAGTACGTACGTGAATGATAAAAAAAAGGTAAGCTCATTTATTGTGTTGAAGATGAGCTTTTCTACCTGGTCGTAGATTGGTAGAATATTTCATGAAATATTCTATAGGGAGGCAACATCTAATCACCTTCAACATCCTCCTCTTGGACTCTTATCTACGTGGGTGACAAGGGGGGGCAGCCTATAACCATATATCTTAAACCCTTGCACACGTAGGCAGATGGGTGAATGGTGACCTTCATCTTCTCCTTCTACTCTAGACATCACGTGATGATTATTATCGAATGACGATTAGCTGATGTTGTACTCAATGTTATTTGTACTCCATACCCCCCCACCTCCCGGGTGTGCTTTTGGGCTCTTACTAAAGGGGTCCAATGTGCGACGTCTAATTTATCTAACATGTCGAACTTATTCCTTTTTGATCCATTGTCAAATTGGTGGCATGTTTAGTTCATCTAATACGTTTGTCTAAGATCGCCTCCCCTAGCGTTGTTGGTGATGATTTATTGCCAACCTAGCCCTCGTATCATAGAGAGATGTACATTGGTTGGACGGGGTTGGGTTTTCTGACCTCCCCGTCTTTTCTCGACCTCTACGCCTCAGGTGGAGGTCGAGGTTGGACTTCTCGACCTCCATTCCTTAGTGGAGGCGGGGGTTGGGCTTCGTAACCTCCCCATCTCAATGGAGGTGAGGGTCAGGCTTCCCGACCTCCCCGCCTTGGCAGAGGCAAGGGTTAGACTTCTTGAGGCTTGAAGGTTGGGATGAGATGGTGAGGTTGGAAAACTTGATCCTGTTTGACCAATGTGCGTTTTTTTGACAATACGAGGGGCAAGTTGGCAATGGATCGCCACCAACAACATTAGGAGAGGTGGTCCTGGATGGACTTGTCAGATGATATAAGGGGCACGATGGACTTGTGTCCAACAAACTAAACATATCACCAGGTTGACAATCGATCAAAGATGCATAAGTTTGATGTTATGAATGAATTAGACGCTGCGCTTCAAACCCCTTTGGCAAGAGCCCTAAAGTATGTCTTTAGGAGAGGGGGACAAATGATAAATAGTATATCATCAACTAATCATCATTTAACATGTAATCGTCATGTAGTGTCTAGGGTGGAAGGAGAAGATGAAGTTCAATCTCCACTCATTTGCCTACATAAGCAAGGGTCCAAGGCAAAGGATTATGGGTTGCAAGCCTCCCCCCTCCCATTCCCTTTCGCCCATGTGAACAAGAGGTCAAGAGAAGACTATTGGAAGCATTTAGAGATTGCATCCCCACAGAATATTCAATAGAATATTCTATCCCTTTATGACTAGATATAAAAGCTCATCTTCAATATAATAAGGAGATGGTTAATCTTTTTTTACTATTCCCGTTTGCAGTCATATACCTTGGGTTACTAACTTATGCATTGAAGGGATTGGGTGGAGAAATATCTCTCGACCTCGATTTTTGTATAAGTGGTACCATAATAGCTTAACGTTTCTACCTCGTTAGTACCTTAAACAACCCTGTGTATAGGGGTCTGCACCAGATCGGGTTGAGCAGGACGTTAACGACATCTTTCCTCAACAATAATATATTTGAGATTAATCTATAATCATCGAATATTTAAAATTAAAAAAATAAAAAATAATTATTAGACCATTAGTGCTTTAAATACTCTTAACCTAATGGCAATAAAAGATTCTAAATAGTTGAGATTTATTATATCTTTATGAAAGAAGGAAAAGTTGATAGAATCTATTAATATACATCAAACTCTTTTTTAATCAACTCGAGTTAAGATTTTGGGACTTGTAGTAATATAATCAAAATTGCACATTTGGGTTTGGTTCGTGTGTTAAGATTAATCGAGCTTATGCATATTTAGGGCCCTTTCTAAGAGCTTATGTTCTTGAGATTGTCGGTAATACGATTAAATATTTATCAAAAGGAAACTAATTCCCCTTCTACTTAATTTGTGAAGTCATTTGTAGAACGCTTCATCTTATCAAAAGGTAAAATGAAATTTGAGAACACTTCTGCAAGAGGACAGCCAATTTCCATGCAAAACTCAGTTCGCATCTCAATCGTCTTTTCCAAAATGCTTCCAATCCAACAGCAAACGGTGTTTCTAAAAGCAAAAAATGCATAAGCACACATCCACATGGTTACGGGCCGCGCTGTCCTGTCAACCTTTTTGGGCTTCTCTAGGCCCAGTCTATCGCATCCGCCCATTGGGCTTTTTGGGCACACACCTTTTTGGGCTTTTTGGGTAAAGCAGGAAACGAGTAAGAAACGGCCGATTCCCATTTTTAAAAGCCCTAATAAAATGACTCGACGAAGGAGGGCACCTTTCACAACCTTTGTGCCGTCTCCGAGCCCGCGCTCTCTTTTCCGCCGCTCCACGCGGCGTCCATCGCAGCCACCTCCCGTTTCTTCCAGAGCCACTATTGCTACCATCGTCCACTGAGTCGTTCGACCTCTCCTCATCGAGTCGCGTCAACAAAGCCTATCTTTTCTTGTCTTAGCGTTGTTGTTTGTTTGTTCTTCCTCCAGTTGATAAGAAGGCGGTCAATAGAACGGAGCATGGCGGCATTGCTGACGACGAACCCCATCTTGTCGTCGACCGATGTGGTTTCGCCTCTTAGATCTCCGCTGAAGCCATTTCGCCCGGCACCTGACTCCTGCCTAAGGTTTATCTCATTTTGCCCTGGCTTGGATGATAGATCAATGTGTTGTAATGTACATTTTGTTCCGTTCTCCTCCCAAGCTTCATGTTGACTAACGGAAAAATTGCACTTTGTGGCCGTAGCACTGGGTATTTCCACATAGGGTCTGCCATAGTTTTAAATCACTTCAGTACTTGATGCTAATTGATAGCTACTCAGGATTGTGCTGTTTTCATGGGCGCATTACGATTTTGAAAAGTCCAGCGTTCTTGAAAAGATGTTCCTTGTTGCGTGTAAGATGTGTATCAAATTTGCAGTTTCTCTTTAAGAATTGGAATCTGGTGCTCATCTACATGTCTATGATCTTCCAAGTAAGAAATTAACAAGCAGAGAATGTACTAAACTTCCTCAGATAATATAGAATCTTGGCCTTCCAAATTTTACTTGGACGTGGTAAATAGAACATAGGTTCAGACCGCCCACCCTTCTTACAAAAAATGTCTCATTATTTTAGGTTGTTAATTCTTATTTTGTCTCAAGATTGAACAGTATATTAATATAGCCTGTGGACAAGCTTCAAAAGTGAATATCATTATCCATGTAAAAGAATATGGTAGGATAATCATTTGCGAAATTTATTACATGTTTATGTCACTGGAAAATATTTTTTTATGTATGTACATAACTTTATACCAATTGACACATTGGCATGGGTTAATACATATGATGCCAGAAAGGTATTTGCATGCCTGACATCAACTCATGTCAAAGGTATACCCAACACAAACTCATGCCAAGGGTGCCAACATATAGTTAGCTGTTTGTAATATTTTGCTATTATATAGTGGCAACAAGAAATGCAAACTTGTCACTTTCTTGGCATGTTGTTTTACCAATATCATTAATTTCATAATTTATAAGTGGCATTTCTCTGCTGAACTGAATGTATATTTCTTCCTATTTTCAAGCTTTGTAGACTGATGGTTAACAGTGTATGACATTTTGCGTGAGACTGTTATATCTGCTATTGGTGGTCAAACTTCTTGCTAGCTTGAGCCACATATAAATTTTGATTGATAATTTGCCTGTCTGCTCTGTGCTAATACTTATCTTGTACTTGCACATCTAGGACTACAAGATGGAGATCTCCAAAAGCTGCTGTCATTCCCAATTTTCACCTTCCAATGCGCAGCCTAGAAGTTAAGAATAGGTTGGTTTTACAGAAAGAAAGAATGGTTTATCCACACATGGTAGATATTAATTCTCCTAAATTACTTTTGCCTGTTGATTTGGATGACATTGCTGTGTGGTCAACAAATTGTTCTTTTAAAGTTTGACTGCAGGGGGGTGATATATTTGGGTGTTAAAAAGAACGGTAACGTGAAACACTTCTGTTTACTCTGGAGGGGCTTTTCTTGCTCAATTTTTATACTAAAAGAAAATTGAAATTTATTGGCTACTATTGTTTACAATAGTTTTTCTCTGTGCTTTTTATTAATCTAACTAGTTTTTACATATTGAAGATATTTTCTGGTCATTTGTTCTTATGATGGGATCTCATAATTGTTGATCACTAGTTTTCATGGTTTCAACTAATTTAAATGTAGTGCAGATTCAGTTACTGATTATTTTATTCTGAACTGTGTTGGATTTAATGGATTGAAATTATGGAACCTGTTTCATCAACATCCTCATAATTTTTGTGGTAGTATCATGGCTCTCGGACTTGTTGTGTTGACTGTACAAGCTATTTTTTATGGAATTTTGATATTGGAAAAAAGTATCTTTCTGTTCATTTTGTGTAAACCAAGTAATTATTCAGTATTATAATAATAGAGAATTCTCGTTTCAGGTTGAAACTTTTGATGATAACTCTGTTCTTATATTCTGCTTCAGGACATCAGTTGATGATATTAAAGGCTTAAGATTAATCACAGCCATTAAGACTCCATATCTACCTGATGGGAGATTTGACCTTGAAGCTTATGACTCCTTAATGCACATGCAGATTGTCAATGGTGCTGAAGGTGTAATAGTGGGAGGTACAACGGGAGAAGGCCAACTCATGAGCTGGGATGAACACATTATGCTCATTGGACACACTGTTAACTGTTTTGGTGCATCAGTCAAAGTTATAGGTAATACTGGAAGCAACTCGACGAGAGAGGCAATCCATGCAACAGAACAAGGCTTTGCTGTAGGAATGCATGCTGCATTACACATCAATCCTTATTATGGGAAGACATCCATGCAAGGAATGGTGTCACATTTTGAGACTATCCTTTCCATGGGCCCGACAATCATATACAATGTGCCATCAAGGACTGGACAGGATATTCCTCCTCCAGTGATACATACAGTCTCAGCAAATCCTAACATGGCAGGTGTTAAGGAGTGCATGGGAAATGATCGCATCAAAGATTATGTAAATAAAGGAGTTGCAATATGGAGTGGAAATGATGATGAGTGTCACGATGCTAGGTGGGCATCTGGAGCAACAGGGGTTATATCTGTTGCTAGCAACCTTGTTCCAGGTCTGATGCATGAGATCATGTTTCAAGGCAAGAATCCTTTATTGAACTCAAAGTTGATGCCTCTTATTAAATGGTTGTTCCAGGAGCCAAACCCTATAGGTCTCAATACAGCTCTTGCGCAGCTTGGCGTGATTCGGCCAGTATTCAGGTTGCCATATGTTCCTCTTCCTCTTGCGAGGAGACTTGAATTTGTTGGTATTGTGGAAGCACTTGGGCGTGAGAATTTTGTGGGAGAAAAAGATGTAGAGGTTCTTGATGATGATGACTTTGTTTTGGTAGGTAGGTACTAGTTCACGGTTTATGCCAAGCTTGGAACATTGATTTTTTTTTTTCTGATAACCTGTAATGGGGTTCTAAGTTCTACGTGTGATTGTGGTCGGTGCTTGAACACGCTAGAGGTGGAGCAGTAGTTATTGATGTTGATATTTCCTTCGGAACAAGAGTTATCTACTTTAATGAGATATTTTTTTCACCATCTGAGATATTTCAGCATTATTTTCTAGTCTTTGCAAGCTATTTGAAAAGAATTTACAAGCCATCGAGACTTCATCATCCACATTACAATCTCGCAAGTACGTATAGAATGTTTAAGTTGTTTGGTATCTGGTTTTAGATGAAATTCATGTGCTCTTTGACATTAAATTGCCTTTTATTCTGTCAAACTAATGTTCTTTCAGAAACTGTGTAGTAATGGTTTCCTGTCTTTCACAGCTTTCAGTTGCCTAGGACTTGAGAAGACAAGAGGATGGAAGATCAGGAGTTTGCAAGCATCTTTCACACGGTAATTCTTTTCCTTACAATTCGTGATTTCTGTTTTATGTTGGGCCTAAGGATGCCGATCCTAGAATCCGATCGCTTTTTAGCTTAAATGTATTATATTAATTATGAAGTGAGTTATTTAAAAAGCCTTTCCTGTATTATCATTTAAATGATAGTTCGATGTTTTAGCCAAGTGGAGTTATCTCTGTGCAAGATCTGTAGTTTCATGTATTGCTACTGCACTGGTCAGGGTTCGGATCGGTAAATGTTCGTGTGTCAAGTACATGATTACATATCGAATCTCAAAGAAAAACCTAGAAAGGTTGGGTTCAAAGCATGTACCTAACACTGGGTGATACCGGCCTTTGTACTAGGTGTATCGGGTGGTGCATGGCCTATGTTGCTCGATATAGGTCTTCGAGTGTACCATTTGATTTACACTAGTTTGCATATCGAAAATTTGTCGGACCATTGGTATTGCAAATCTATATCGGATCATCTTTTTTTTCTGAATAAAAAATTGAGACTTATATGATATATGAAGAAAGGGTAATGTGGTTGAGATTTTAGGATGGTAGACTATATTTTTAGAATATTTTAGGATTGGATTCCATCATCGCCCACTTTCATACAAGTAATAAGCAGAGGTGTTTGTAAGGTGATAGACTCAGTGGACGACGTTGCAAGAATTGCAACGGCTATTGGTGAAGGGGAAGGATGTTTTCGTTTAATTGATAAAAAAAATGGATTAAAAAAAGAGTATTTTGAGGTGAAAACTAATTAGGGGTGTCATTTGATAAAAATCAAATGGATTTTTTTAAGTTACAATGGTAAAAAATGAATTAGAAACCCGAGTTATGATTCCGGAATCATGAATCCCTTTATTTCCTTCCAAGGAATCCATCGAAGATTCCCATCTCTCGAGAGTTGCCATTTGTAGCGGAGGAACCAAGAGGGGACTGCTACGCCCAGCGCTTGGGGTCGTATCTCCTTTGGGCCGCCGCCGCCTTATCCGTTCCCCGCAGTCTCGTGCCGCCGTTGCCGTCTTTAGCGATGGCAATGGCGACGTCATTCGGGAACAAGGATCGCCAAACCAATGCGTGGAGGAGGGTGGACAAGAGCAACAGAAACACCATGGTCGAGGATATGACCGAAAGGCTCACCGCCAGGCCCTTGGTGAAGAAGCATGGAACCTCTTCCGCGTACTTGATGGTGGCGACGGAAGCCGTCGTCATCGGGAATGTGTACGACCACCACGCCACCGAGAACCTGCGCTTCAAAAACTGCCGATTATGAGATTAGGAGAGAAGGATTCTTGTGTTCGCTTGGGGAGTTGTTTACTTGAATCCTCTGAAGAAGTTGATGCGCACGATGAGGGAGCAGTAGAGGAAGAGGGCGATGAAGTAGAAGGTCCTCGCCACGGCGTCGAACTTCCCGTAAATGGCACTCCACGCGATGCTTGCAGCCGCCGGTGTCGCAATAAACATGGAGTACACGGGGTGCAGCTCCTTGGGCAACGCCTGGGTGGTCGGCAGCCGCTGATACAGGGTAACGAACAAGCAGAGGTAGTGCGCTAGCCCGACCGCCCATAGGAGCTTGCCGGCCTCCTCCCACCCTACCTTGGCCGCCAGGATCGCGCCGACGAAGTTGCCGACCACCGAGAGGTGGCACGATGGATTGGCCACCTTGCACAGCCGGCGCTTCCCCCCCGACAGCCATTGCCCGTAGATCTTGAGCTCCAGGACGAAGACGGGTGCGATTAAGGTGCACCAGATGGCCGGGTGGGGCTGTTTCGGCGCAAGCCTGGCCGGGGCGCCGATGGCCAGGAACATGCAGGCGATCCACGGCGCGAAGAAGAAGTTGACTCGGACGGGGTGGTAGTACTCACGGCATATGGCCTCGAAGTAGAAGACGCACTTGAGGATGTAGGTGATGGAGACGAAGACGAAGACTACAAGCGCGAGAAGCCAGAAGACGAGGTTGATGTCAGGGGTCACATGGAGGAACGCCATGGCCGGGCTCGACGCGAGGGCTCTCCACAGGATTGCCTGGCTACCGAGGCCGAGACACATACCGAAGCACCCGATCGGGAAGCGGAGGAGGAACGGCCACACCTCGCCCTTGGGAAGGAGGATGTCCTCGCAATCCTGCACGAGGTAGACACGATCTCGAATTGCGCCAACTGCAAGTACATGATGGCCTTTAGGATTTGTTCTTACTTACCCTGACTTGGTCGAGCTCCGGCCCTCGAAGCGCGGCGAAGTACCTTCCGGCGGAGACGCTCTTGTTAACTCTGTCATCAGTCCCGGCTAACCCAGGGACGCCATCGGCGTGGTTGAGATCGGGTCCGCTCTCCTTCCGCGACGACAGGAAGGAATTCTGTCTCGAAACGAGCGCCGACTTCGTCCGGAACATGCTGAAATCTCCCTTTCTCTGGCCGGCATTCCCCGCGGTGGCACCGGGAGCTCCACAGCTCCGGCTGTTCCGCGATAGAACCACCCGTGGCTCCTCTTTGGCGTCGCTGCTTCTTCTTCCCTGGACTTCTTTCTCCTCCGTTTCGACCCAGGCGATGCCGCTCTCCAGCGAGATCTGCCGGCTAAGAATCGCCATTGGCGCCCCCGCCTCTCCTCCGCTGTCACCTCCCGCGCCTCCTCGGAGGTTGATGGATTCGTGGGTAGGCTGACGATGCCTGAGCTTTGTCAGGGTCTCGTTCTCGCTGATGAGCAACATGTGGATGTGCACGAAGAGGTAAACGGCCGGAAGCCGAAGGCGCGGAGGCCATTGTTGTTGGCGAGGCTGGAGAATTGGCCTTTGCCAAGGCCCATGACAGTCTGGTGCAACAAACTAGCTATTAGAAGACTCTCTCTTGTACGGATCAAAAGATTAAAGGAAGGATCAAAAGATTAAAGGCTACAAGTGTCAGGAGCGAAACTGGGTGATCCGAGATTAACTTATGGGATGGAAGTTGATAGAAAAATAAGGGCATGATTAACATCTCAACAGTATTATCTTAGTTAGTGTTTTCAATTTTACCATTTTCTGTTATAGCTCCAGAGCTAACTTAAGCATCGGAGGAGTTTTGTCGGATATATTATTAATATAATTTTGTAAAATTTAATATCTTCTAGATTCGATCATTCTTGATACTAGAGAGGCAAACATGAAATGATTAGTTTGGAGTAAGATAACTATGTTTCAACTTAATAAAAGGAAAATATGGATTTAGGTGTTTGGGCCTCTTAAATATGCTTAGATGCTTACGTTCCTTTCTTTGATGTCTTCTTAAATTATATAAAAATCTTAAGCAATTATAAATATTTGGTTTGTGTTTTATCTCTAAGGTTATCGATGAGTAAATGAAGAACATTTTAATTGATAGGATGGTTTTGTATACAGTAATTTAGGGTGTTATGAAATTCTATGATTTGTTGCTTGACCTCTCGAACTTCATATACTTCCCAAGAATTGCCTATGTAACGATTGATACTTTGGATATGAGAGGAAAGAAGATAGATAATAAGTTAGATTTCATTTATTCTACATATGATAAAGATTCAGAACTAAAGCGAAAATCATTTTTGAACTTGCCAATGTTAGAAATGATATGAATATCTAATTTCACATTGATCGATGAGTAAAGAAATCAAAAATTCATAAATCCATCCAACATCATATGTATCCTCAAAAATGCTTTTTGAGATTATGAATCCCAAAAGAACAAAATCAATAATGATCAAATATAAACTTATCAGATCGATGCTAGAAGGATAGTCCTAACCCTTGACTTCCCAACACAAAACCTTTCCAGATTGCTTAAGTTAAGATTCGAAAAGTTATATAAACTAAGATTCTCAAAAAGGTCCCATTGATGCACTAATGAACTTTTTATAATTATATAAAAAATAAAAATATTAATCAGCTTAATTAATAATTAAAGACTGTGATAATCAATCGTAAGATTCTATAATTAAAACTCATATCATTTTTCATGTCTCCGTTGGGCCCTTTGAACTTTCTTTCATCAACAATCAAATCAGAACCGGTAACCGGAAAGAGGACAAATCAGTTTGTTCATATTTTACATGTGTCCCCTATCTTCAGATCATTACAACTATCACTTGAGAACATAAGCATGCACCTGAGGAGACCACGATCTACTAAATTTACGAAACAAGATCTATCCAGGAGAGGCATCTCCCTCACTTCCATGAAGAGTGAAGCACGCAACAACGACAACACCAAAACAGAGCACATGTACATCTCTTTCTCTTTACATATGCCATCTCAGGTGGCGTAGTCCATTTATTATACGAGCTTCTCAGCGCCGAGCGATTCAAATACCTAAAGAAAAGCTGCTGCACCGTTCTGACAAGACATGTCAGAGATTGGAATTGATTCACCGTGGCAGACCACGGCATGAGCTGTCTCTCACTCACCGTGGCGACCGGTACAGAGACGAGCAGAGTTCTACCACTCACACCATGGAACCTATGCTTACCCACAGAGGGAAAACGAAGGAGGAAAAAGACCATCTATCGTAATGCGAGCTCTGGGCGTGCTGGATCATGAGACCTGGGTTGGGTTCCTCTGTCACCAGTCCCCCCCCCCCCCACCACCGCGCACCAGCTACAGACTTGCCTCGTGCCTACGGTGTTTTCCCTCTCCGACAGGCAGATCAAGCTGAGACCAGACACAGAAATCTCAAAAGATCTCGAAAGAAAAGATTCTGCTTAAAGGAGCTTAGGAAGCCACGGTTTTACCAGCAGCGTCGTTTCGAAGGACGCGAGCGTGCGATAGGCCCTGCCCTGGCGGAGACACGCGGCTGCCACCGCTAATGCCGGTGTTGGCGTCGGTAGTCAGCTGGCGCCCAACAGCCGGAACCGTAATGGACAGCTGTGTAGAAGTGGCGGTGATCGGGGTGGTAGCTCCCGCTTCCACGGGCTTTCTTGGACGGTTGCGGCCCCGGTGCATGTGGCGCTCGCAGTACTTCTGGTTGGGGACGACGTCTCTGGAGCACCGCCACTTTTTGCCGTCGGTCCTCCTGCACCGCCCGGGCTCCGGCTCCATGATGTTCCGATAGTCCAGGCACAGGCTCCCGTAGCCCATCACTGCCTCGCGCCGACACCGCAAACTGGTTATTTGGACCCCAAAGCCCCAAAGAAGAGACAAAACTATAGTTCATCGAACAAAACGCGAGGTTAGGGATGGAGATGGGGTACAACAGGAAGGGTAGCTGTAGTGGCCGAAGGAGGAGGCAGCGACGCTCTTCCAGATGGGGAGGACGAGGTGAACTGGGACGGGGAGGCCAGCGGCCATGTACTTGTAGATGAGCGCCTGGTGCTCCAACTCCTGCAGCTGCATGAAGGTGAACACCGGTTTGGATGCTCCTACTCCTCTCCCGAGCCCGAGCCCCAACCCCAGCATCAAAGGCGACGGCGCCGCCATCGTCACGATCCCTTCCATACAAAGGAACCACCGCCACCCACCACGATAAGAACGTCACAAGCAATTCCAGAGAGCAAACGGATTTACGAGGGAGTAGAAAAGGTTCGAAGCAGCACCAGCTTCATCGGACAAGACGCGGGCTAGTTTGCGAGGCGACGACTCTCCCCCTTCTTCTTCGCGTTGCAGCGGCTGTGATCTCCGTTCGCCCGCCATCGGGAACACCCTGCGACGCAAGCGGCGAAGCGCTAGGACATGGGCGGACGCAAGAATCACGCCGCGTCAGAACCCGTAACGATCGGTGGAAAAGCTTTCCCTGGGGCGAACGACTTACTTCTACTTGTGATCCTGCAAGCTGAAGCTTCACGTTCTGCTTCTCCCGCACACCATCTCTGGACTTTTTCGGGGAGGACGGCGCGTGGGTCTGCGAGGCGAGGAGGGTCGTCTGACATGTGTCAGGCCTTCTGCAGAACCAAACATTACATGTCTCCCGTCGGCATTACTAACGCGGTCACCCACGACAGAACTACGCGTCGGTATGCGAGTACAGGGGCCGAAGGCCTATCACAATCCGAATCCGATAGGTAGATCCATCCCGTATTCATCAGAAATCATCTAACAACAGACGTGTTATATGTGATTTGGAGTAATCTCTCTAGAGCCAACTTATCGGGTCGGAGTCGGATCATGTAAAGGGGTTATCGGAGTCCGTGACGTGTTACCGTCCGTCATCAAATAAACTATCGTAAATGTTTGTATACCATGATCCAACGTCCGATAATAAAAGCACGATTTTTAAGGGTGACGCGTGTAATTTGTTATAATATATTTAATTTGAATATGAAAGGGAGTATTACACGGAACGCTCTCTCAAGAGCTAGTCGTCATGAAGTGCCGAAGGATTGCCAAGCAGCCGGAAAGGGAGAACAGTAGGGGCACGGGAAGGAAAATCCTCTTGAGGAACTCCAAGAGATATCATGAATCTCATCATAAATCTATTAAAGAAAATCTTTCTCTCTTAAGAATTTTTTTTTAAAAATATATATAAATATAAAGTATTATGTATTATTTCAATCAATATAATTTTTTTTTTAATTTCATTTTTATCATAGCATAGTATCAGAGTTCTCGCCGTGAAGGTCACTTCTAAACATCTTGAAATAGACTCGTCTCCTCGTCAGACTCCACCGAACCTTGGCTTCTTCTCCTACTGCCTCATGGACCGCGACTCTATCTCAAAGTAGTGCAGCGTCACAGCCACGGTAACCCTCTCTACCACAGCAACAGCAGTAGTGATCTGCACTTCTCCCAAGCTGCTGTCCTCTGCTTCTTCTTCGCCTCGACAAGCAGCATCCGGAACCATTTCCAAGTTCCCAACTATAGAACTGTTGCACAAAGACTGCAGCACTACTGTACAGAGATCTGCAGCTTTACACAATATTGATCATTGTCAATATTAACCAACAACTCGCAACCCATTTGCCACCACAACCCATTTGCCACCAACACCTCTTCCTCCCTGATCATTATCTCACTACAGACTTCTAGTTGCTCCGACATATTAGTACATATCCTCCATATGTCCTCATCATCAATCTCTGATGCTCCCATTATTGTCCCTGTAGGGAACCACAATACCTTCTCACATACAGGCCTTATCTCCATAAATGCAGCAACCCTCATCCCCTTCAAATTATCCAAAGGTGGCAACTACACATCCTAGCGTGCTCAATTCTCAAATTATCCAAAAGTGCAGGAGTTAGGAAAGAACTCAATTGAGGTATGATTCTGTTTGCATAATTGAGAAATAGAAATGAGGTTTCATTTGATGTAGGGTGCACACAAAATATCATCTAGCGTAAACAAAGTGCTATGTAAATTAAGTATTGTAGAACTAGTATGAGTAATGGGGAGTCCGTTACCGTCACCAATGATGATGTCTTTGTTTTCGCCATAGTCGTCGTGGATGGACAAGCTTTGTAAATCAGAGATGATGTGATGAGATGTGCCAGAGTCCACAATCCAATTTTGATAACCAGTAGTCAGAGTAGCTATAAGATTTGCGCGAGGCCAATGCGACAGAGGAGGAAGTCTGGGTCGAGTTCTACAGACTTTTGCAGAGTCGCCAATTTTATCACATAGTTGGCAGACAACTCTTTGTTGATTTGTATGATCAAGACACCAGGGTTGAGGATAATTGAAGTAGTCGCCTTAATGATTGTAATTGAAATGTTGAGGAGGGGAGGTTTGTTTGGAGCCCACAAGTGCAGGCATGCTGGCCAAACCTTTATTGATAGATTTGTTATATCAGTTGCTCTTCTTCTTAGATTTTTCACTGACTTGAGCTGTGATGAATGGTCCTAGCAACTTGTCCTCATGTTTGAGATATATCTCATAGTCAGTCAACTTGTCATAGAGTTCTTCAAATGACACTAGTGAATCACGTGCATGTATTGCTGTTGCCAATTCCTTGTACTCGTCTCCTCGGCCGTTGAGGATATGGATAGTAACTTTTTCATCACTGAGGGAATGACATATCAAGGCTAAGTTATCGATGATAATCCTTATGTTATGTAGATAATCAGCAACAATACTTCCCTCTTGTTTTATCGCCATGAGGCTAGACAAAAGAATAAGCATGCGAGTGTGGGAATGATTGGCTAGAGTGGTTTGCAACTTGCACCAAGCTTCGACAGTGGTGTTATATGAAAAAATGAGTGGGGCGAGGGATCCAGCGATCGAGGCTTGAATAGCTTAAAGGATGAGACGATCCTAGCGTAACCATAATTTGTGGTCCGGATTTGGTACTGGACTGGGTGCGCTTGGGATGTTGAGCATCGCCGGTGGACAACGAAGAGAGCCATCGACATAGCCTAGAAGATTATAGCCAAATAGTAGATTAGATAATTGAGCACGCCAAGATGTGTACTGTGGTTCCCTTGTCCTTTGACTTGTCGAGCTCCCTTAAGCGAATATGGGCTCTAGAACAATCCAACTTTTCAGCCGCTTTGATCATACCTCTGCATGATCAAATCCCTCCCATGGGACTCACTAGTACTTACATTCTGTATATTCCCTCAGTGTACACAACCCTCATATGCTGATGACTAAGGCTTTTATCCGATGTAAAATTCGATTAGACTCTTACAAAATATTTATAGGAATATTCCACAAGGAGACAATTTGTAACAAACTCAAACCGTCCCTAAATATTCTTATGAATATTCCGTAGGGAGATAATTTATATTGGCTATTGCTTGACTCTTATCCATGCAACCAAGTGAGTGGTAGGTCATTTAGGTCTTTTCCTTTGTGGTGTCTATTTTTGATCAACTCGAATATTTCAATAAATATATTTTCTATATGAATGTTAGAGTATATTATTATTTGGAATTTGGAAGGACAAACACCAAAAAAATAAAAACAAAATATTAGTTTAATACATTATTTTCTAAGCTTTGAACGATGAAATAAATGATGTTATTCAATATTCTATTAATATTGGATGGTTAATTAGTCGTATTTATCGTAAAAAAAAGAAAACAAAGGTAAGGTGATAACTTTGTATATTTAGGAAGCAAATCGTCCAACTTGATGGCCTAAAAAGGAAACGCCGTGTTCTCCATCGGAAGCGAAACCCATCACAGCTCTGCACTAACATTTAATACCGTCCTAACATCTCCCCCCACCCCTGTCCGGCTTCTACTCCATCTAATGCCCAAAACCTCTCTGCCTGCCTCTTAGTCTTGAGAGTAAACAAAGACACGTTGGAACTCCTCATCACCAAGCACGTAAGGGATGCACCTTCTCCCATATAAACCACGCAAACGCGCATTGCCCACTTCTCTGTCTCTCTCTTTCGCTCTCTCAAGTCGTCGGGACGAGTCCTCATAGCACAATTTCTGGTAACTTACAACCTCCTACTATCTTAATGGAGTCTCGGCCGCAGGAATCCAACCTCAAGGAGACCAAAAAGCTGCTGCCACCGCCTTCCGGCGCCGCCTGCTCGCCACATCATCCTCCTCTCAAGTCCCCTGCCTTCCTCCCCTGCTGTCAACTCCTGACCGTCGTTTGCTTCCTTCTCGTCCCATTACGTTTCTTTCTTTACGCCCGCAACCTCTCCTCCCCACGCCTCCTTCTACCCCGCCCGGATAACTCCTCTCGGCCTCCTCCACCTCCTTCCGCTAATACCGTCACGGACTCGTGCTCCTCCGGCCTCATCTTCGTCTACGACCTCCCGACAGCCTTCAACGCCGACGTCCTCGCTGCCTGCGACGAACTCAACCCGTGGCAGTCCCTCTGCGTCGCTCTCTCCAACGGCGGTTTCGGTCCTCCTGCTGGTGAACTCGCCGGAGTTGTCCCCGCCAACCTGCTCCCCTACTGGTACTCCACCGACCAATTCTCCTTGGAGCTCATCTTCCATCGCCGCATTCTTGCACACCGGTGCCGCACTGTGGACCCTTCCGCCGCCGCAGCCTTCTACATACCCTTCTACGCAGGCCTCTCCGTCGGCAAGCACCTCTGGTCCGGGGACGCCGCCTCACGAGATCGTGACTCCGCGCTTCTCCTCCGCTGGATCAAGGAGCAGTCCCCCTGGAAGCGATCCAACGGATCGGATCACTTCATCACGCTGGGACGGATCTCGTGGGACTTCCACCGGTCGGGGAACGACGGCTGGGGCGGAAGCTTCCTCAACATGGCCGGGATGGAGAAGGTGACCCGCCTCATCATCGAGCGCAACCCATCGGATAAAAAGGACGTCGGAGTACCGTATCCGACGGGGTTCCACCCGCGTACCGCCGCCGAGGTCCGACAGTGGCAGCGATTCGTGCTGAACAGGAACCGGTCGACTCTGTTCGGCTTCGCGGGGGCGCCTCGGCCGCAGGTGAAGGACGACTTCCGGGATTTCTTATTTAAGGAGTGCAAGAGAGCGGGGAAGGGCAAGTGCCGGTCGCTGGACTGGTGGAAGGTGCGGCGCCAGAACCGGAGCGCGGCGGCGATGCGCCTGTTCCTGGACTCGACGTTCTGCCTGCAGCCAAAAGGCGACAGCTACACCCGACGGTCCATGTTCGACTGCATGCTGGTCGGGGCGGTGCCGGTGGTGTTCTGGCGGCGAAGCGCGTACGGGCAATACGAATGGTACCTGCCGGGGTCCGGAGAGGAGAGGGAGGGGGAGTGGTCGGTGTTCATCGACAGCCGGGAGGTGAAGAACGGGACGGTGAGCGTGAAGGAGGTATTGGAGGGGATAGGGGAGAAGAGGGCGCGCAAGATGAGGGAGAGGGTGGTGGAGATGATACCGAGGCTGCTTTACGCCGCAGTAGAGGAAGGGCTGGGCGAGGGCATGCAGGACGCCTTCGACGTGGCAGTGAAGGGGGTGCTCCAGCGGTTCCGGGGGCAGTAGCACCGGCGGCGTAGGGATGGGAACGGAATCTTCTCATGAATGGTATTTTGTATTTATTACCTTTTTTAGCATTTTCTTTCTCGAAATGGATACATTCCTTCCGTGTTTGAGGCAGCAACGCCTGCACCGAAAAAAGGCGGAGGAGAGGGTTAATGGAAATCTGGGAAGAAGATGCGTGCACCATGGAAGCATTACGATGCTGGATATAGAAGATGAACGTAGTTAGTTTGCTCTGCTAGCAAAAATATTAATTACAACGTTCTGATGTATATTCTTCGGCCTTATTTCTTGAGTTGCGATGTTCATTTCCCTGGAATACCTTAAGAGGAAGCACGACGAGTTGTGTGTCAGCAAAAATAACTCCAACACCAAAAATTAGATGAGATGTTTGAAAGATCACTTGTCACCGAGCCTTTTGGATAGACTGATTCTTTATTGTTAGATTCGGAATAAGTCATCCATATAAACTAATAAAATATGATACTTCTCTCGTGGGGATAGATAAATAAATAATTAATAGTTAGATTGAGAATTATTGAAAATTCATGCATCAAGAAAACTAAGAGTTTGACTCATCAGATCAAATCATCTGAGCCTTTTAATGGACTCATTTTCATTCCAATTGATAAAAAAGAACTCATTTCAGCTCCACAAAGTTCGAAAATGGGTTCTTGTGTTGGTAAAGTAATTAATTTAGAATATTACATACAATCCTCATCTTGTTATTTATAATTTCATATTAAGAACCTTAAATTTTCTTAAGTTATGTCTTTGTAAATAGATGTATATCTTCTCAATCTATAATTTAGTTTTAATAAAATCTTTGTAGTTATTTACTTCTTCTTTTTTTTGTCTTCTCATCCTCCTAATTGTCAAAGTTAACGTAAAATGATGAAAGAAAGATGAATAATAAAATGGGACGAACTAAAGATGGAAAATAATGATAAGAGAAATATTTTTTTATGTTTATATAATGATTTAATAATTTTAGGATTATATATATTTTATAATACCCTAGAAGATATTCAGTTATATTAACATAGAAGATATTATATTTCAAGTATTTACAAATTGTTTAGTATAGTGCACAAGCGATGAAGAAAGTCGAAGATAGTAAGGTACGTAGGCAAGGACCGTGAGTCGAAGATAGTAAGATACGTAAGTAAGGACTGTGAGAAGGAAAAAAAAAAGAAGATAAGAGTAAAATAAAATTAGAGAAATTATGAATAGTAAGATATTTTTTTATTAATTTTTAAAGAGACTATGAGTAATAAAAGAGTTATGGATAGTAAAAAAAAACTCTAAATAGTAAACTCCTTGATTTAAAATGAAGGGCATTGAAATGGAATCTTGTTGTGATCTTCAACTCACCTTACACTGTTGAAGAAGAACATAAGACAGCGAGCGAGCAATAAGTGACAAGACTTTGTTGCATAAGGTGAATTTCTTCGAGTTGCATGAGTTGCAATACTTTGTTGCAAAATTGGATTAAGACTTTGAGTTTGATGAATCCAAATATTATATTTTTGATTATGATGTAACTTTGGAGGAGAAGGAGCGAAAGATTGAGTGACAAAAAAAAAAGAATGAAATGACATATGACAACCTTAAATTTTCATTAGCATTGTATGTGAAATATATACGCAAATATTATAAAATAAGAGAAAATATATGAGCTTATCGATCGAAAGTAAATGTAAAATATATATATTCTAATAATTTATGGTTGAGAATCATGATAATGCATTGCCATGTTTCCTACGATTATGATGGAGACAATTGTAGTTCTAATATACTGTTTCTTAATATATTCATTCCTACATTGGAGCTGCATATTCTTGATTGCAATATAGTTTTTACGTAATTGATGTGGACAGTTTGTAACTCTCTTCTTTGATTGCAATATGATTTCCTCTCCAAACAAAAAATATATAATATTTTAAACATAATTTTGAATGGTACCCCATGGTACGGGCGATATGTACTGGTCCGACGGCATATCGGTACGCGGACCACCCACTACCGAACGGACCATGCTACAGTACTACAGTAATATACTATAACAGTACTATAGTCCTACATGGTATATTGTAGAGTGTTACATTACTATAGTAAGAGGAAATAGCTCGATAAACCCTAGTGTACCGTTCGGTATGCCCTGGTATATGTCTCGATACGTCGGTACCGTATCGTACTAAGTCAATTTTGAAATATCGGTACAGTACGATATTGCATATCTTATTTTAAACATTCTAATAATACATAAATTGATGAGACGTACAACATGTGTTGTTGTTTGACATAGATTTTTCTATATAAAATATTTTGCATATGTGATCACTTCAATAAGAAATTCGGATTGATTATTATATTATTCGGATCAATTTAGAAATTTCAATAATGTTAGTCAATTAATGCATGTTATCAACGATTCTTATCCTTAGCTCCTTTCGATGCATGCAAATGATGACCTGATAAAACAGTTCAACTTTCCTATTTATTCAGCACTATCCCTAATTTGGCAACAGATACCTCAAATTCGAATGCCATGCAGTCTTCTTCCGAAGGTTTCCATTGCATTCCCATTTCACATCTCAAGCTTTGCTTGGCTTGTTTAAATCAATTTTATCATTCTCTTTAGTTATTCATCAAAAATAAATGATCGAAATATAAAACGAAAGTAAGATGAAGGATTTTGGAGGCCTTCAATTAGACTTTCAGTGGGATAATTTCTGAACAATGTAATATATTTCGTGCAGGACAAAGTTGCAACTGTGGTTTCAAAAGCTATATATATATATATATATAGTTGTGTTTTGTGCTTGCTTTCGTTCCGAGCTTCTCAAATCCCTCTACCAACGAACTACGAGTTTACATCATCCAAGTGGGCTTGGATGCCAAGAGTGACTGTATAAAGACCAAATATATCACCGAATCACATCTAAATTATTCATCAAGTTTAGTCACCTTTGGTAGAAGTGAACCATCATTCGATTAGAACGAGACTTGAATGAGAATAAAATTAATTAAAAATTAGAATCGAACCAAATTATATGTATATTCATGTTTCGATTTGAACCAAATCATATTGAAATTGTAATTAGATCGACCTGGAGCTTATCTATTCAGAATTAAAGTGGAATCAGAATTTCGATTGCAACAACATAGAATTTGAGTCGAAATTATAATTGATAATTATAAAAAAATATTTTTTTGTGTATTTATTTTTATTATTATTATGTATATGAAAACACATGACTTTTCAAAGTGTATTTTTTTTATCAAAATTTTGAAATAAGATTATTAATTTTTGCTACTTTAAATTATCTTATCAAAAATTAAAATTAAAAAAAAATAAAGGAGCTTAAACCAGACTCGAATACCGAATCAAAATGGAGCCGGACCTAAAATAGTCGATTCCAGATTTCGGGTCATGCCTATTTGAACTACATCAACGATCTGGTGTTTTCGAATTGAACTGATTGAGTTTTGAGTTTTGGGATTTAGGTTTCGATTCTTGAAATTTAGAATCGAAACTGAAATCAACAATTCTAGTTTGATTGTGAATCAGATTAAAAAAAAACTAAACACCCCTTCAAATAATGAATTTACCCCTTCTATCATTTTAATAAATGACTAACTAAAGGATATTTTAATTTTAAAAAAGAAAAAAATTAAATAAATGATTTTAATTCGAAAGCAAAACAAACTGATTTGATTTCGATTCTAAATTGGACACAATTGGAACCATCAATTTTATAATGGAGGGTGGGACTACTTGACTAATGTCAATTCATATGACATTGTATTGCTAATGTCACTCGAGTGATTGTGAATACAACGGTGACAAATGTTACGGCTAACGAGCTCGAGTTATAGGATCGAGATGGATGTGCTGAACACAATGTTAATAACGTTGTGGTTTGAACTCGTACACGTAGAATTGTTCGAGACTAAAACGTTGAACTCCAATAATATATCGTAGAATATTTCATGAAATATTTTATCTTTTTACGATCAGATATAAAAAATTTATCTTTAACACAATAAAAAAAATTTATCTTTTTAACTACTTATATCTATATTTATATATATCGTGTTACTAATTTAGACGTAAGATGAATCAGTAAAAAAAATCATTTATAATCTTGATCTTTGTGCAAGTGACATGTAAAGAGTCCGACGTTTTCACCTAGGTCGGGATCATATCGAACAGAACGCTAATGACTTCTTTTCGTAATAATAACTCATGAGCAATTGTTCGGTGACCCAATATGATGACACCTTTTTACCTTTAATATGAGTCCCAAAAGGCCTGTTTAAGATAATGGATGATGTTGAAGTTTATAATGCCCAGTAAAAGAGTTGAGGTATAGGTGGATCCTACTTTTGACTTCAGTTATTATTTATTGTCAGCGGTATGAGCACTAAGACTCAGCTTCGTTGACGACAAATGATGACCTATCTGTCGTAGCACACATTCTTGAAATTGTTGCCGCAGCAATTATGTCCTCTTTTCACAGTTTACCCCATTCTTGAAATGATCGGCAGCGTCCGCCAAGCTCTCCGTGGAACTCGCTACATGTTGCTCCACGATTTGATCGCCCCCAGACTCATCCTCGTCACATTCTCCCTGCACTGCCGTGCAGCCACTGCATGTGCTCTCCCACTCACACCACACTGCATGGTGCGGCCACTGCTCGAGCAGGGCCGGCCATGATCGAAACACCCCAATCCTCCACCCACGCACGGCATGGGCTCGCGCTATCATTTCCCTTCCCATCGCAGCAACAGGCGACCGCTCTTTGCTTGTGCTCGAAGACGAGTGCCGCGGAGTCCCTCCCATGGAATGGACCAGCGACAGTGCACGCCTATGCATCGGCATGGGATCGAATCTCTTTGTTGGTAGCATGGCACCGAGCATCATCGCTTTGCTTCATTCGTATCATCATTAATCTCCGTGATCTTTTCCTCTTTCTCTCTATTTAAGTGTCTCCTCTGCTCTGTTTTGGTGATCCTGACCCGAACGCTTTCCCCCCTCTGTCCCTGCGAGCAGGTATGCACTGTCCCAATTTGTTTGTGCCCTAGAGATATTCTATGGAAGGTCTGAGTTATATATTTGCATGTTGTTCCAGAAGACAGGTTTGACAATTGGAATACTTAGCATTAGTTCTTCTTCTTGTTGGTGGAGATTGAGATGCCCAACTACTTGAGATGAGCATCGTGACTTCTATCTTTAGTTTACATAATCTGTGCACGATTAGTCTATGCCAACTTCACCCTCTTGTTTATGGTGAAAATTCTACTTGAGCTGCCGTCGCGTAGATCAACATGTGGACCTTCAGAACTGATATTTAGTCTATTTGCAGGCGAAATGGTCCCGTCTTTATCCCTGATGCTGATGGTTGTGCAGTTTCTGATGGCGCAAGTACATCCATACGCATACACCTCGATGAAGAGACGGACTTACATAGTCCACATGGATGCCACCGAGATCGCAGCTCTCGACGACTCCCTCGGTGGAGCCACCAGATGGCCCCAAGCCGTGCTCGACTCCCTCTCGCTTTCGCGCGGAGAGGGAGAAGCAGAACCAGCACCTCAGCTACTATACGTCTACGACACTGCCCTCTCCGGGTTTGCTGCCACACTGTCGGCCAAACAAGCGGAGTCCCTTCGACAGCTCGATGGAGTCCTCACGGCCTACCCTGACGAGTTGATCCATCTCCATACCACGCACAGCCCGGACTTCTTAGGCCTAAACCCTGGCAAAGGCCTCTGGAGCTCGCGCAACTTGGCTTCCGACATCGTCGTCGGCGTGATCGACACTGGAATTTGGCCGGAACATGCTAGCTTCAGCGACACCGGTTATTCCGGCGTCAACCTCAGTCGATGGAGAGGCGCTTGTGAGGCCGGCAGAGGCTTTTCCGCCAGCAACTGCAACAGGAAGCTCGTCGGCGCCCGGGCCTTTTGGAAAGGTTATGAGGCCGTCGGAAGCAGGATAAACGAGACTAGCGAGTACCGGTCGGCTAGGGACTCTCAAGGGCATGGCACCCACACTGCTTCCACTGCGGCCGGCAACATCGTCGCCGGTGCAAGTCTTCTTGGCAACGCCAAGGGCTCGGCGAAAGGGATGAGGTATACTGCTAGAGTTGCAGCCTATAAAGGATGCTGGAACTCAGGTTGTGCCAGTTCGGACATACTAGCTGCAGTGGATCGAGCGGTGGCGGACGGGGTCGACGTTCTGTCTCTCTCCCTTGGCGGTGGATCTCGAGAGTACTACTCCGACAGCGTCGCTATTGCTGCCTTTGGGGCTGTCCGCAAAGGCGTGTTCATCTCCTGCTCGGCCGGTAACTCAGGCCCTTACGAGTCCACCGTGAGCAACACTGCCCCGTGGATCATGACAGTCGCTGCGAGCTACCTCGACCGACGGTATCCGACTTCAGTGAAGCTCGGCAATGGCCGTACTTTCGAAGGTGCGTCTCTTTACGCGGGGAAGCCTACGGAACTTGTACCGATCGTCTACGGTGACACCGCCGGTGGGCGAGGGGCGCGGTTCTGCATTGCCCGTTCTCTCTCGTCGAAGCGTGTGATGGGAAAGATGGTCCTCTGTGATCGAGGCCTCATCAGCCGGACGGAGAAGGGCGAGCAAGTTAAGCTCGCAGGAGGCGTTGCGATGCTCTTGTTGAACTCCGAAGAGCAAGGAGAAGAGCTATTCGCCGATCTACATGTTCTGCCCGCCTCATCTTTAGGGGCTGCCGCCACCACGGCCATCAAAAGCTACATCGCTTCGTCGAAGACGCCTACTGCCATGATCACCTTCGAGGGCACGGTTTATGGCAAAACTGCGCCAATGATGGCTGCATTCTCGTCGCGAGGGCCGAGCTTGGTCGGACCAGACATTATAAAGCCCGACGTTACGGCACCAGGCGTGGCCATATTAGCGGCATGGCCACCTTCTGTGAGCCCTTCTCTTGTCGACAGCGATCAAAGGAGGGTTAACTTCAACATAATCTCCGGCACCTCCATGTCTTGCCCACACGTAAGCGGGCTTGCGGCACTCCTCAAATCATTGCACCCCGATTGGTCTCCGGCCGCCATAAGATCAGCACTGATGACCACTGCTTTTTCTGTAGACAGCCAAAATGCTTCTATCATTGACGTGAGCACTGGACTGCCTGCGACGCCATTCGTTCTGGGATCCGGCCATGTCGACCCAGAGAAAGCTTCCAAACCAGGCCTGATCTATGACATTGCCCCAGATGACTACCTCAACTATCTCTGTAGCTTGAAGTACACTCCCCAGCAACTGGCAACTTTCGCGGGGAAGAAGTACAACTGCCCCAAGAACAAGATCATTCGAGCAAGGGACTTGAATTATCCTTCGTTCTCAGTGCTATTTGACAGTGGGAGAAAGAAAGCTACTCTGACACACACAAGGACGGTGACCAACGTGGGGCAGGCGCCGTGCGGATACACAGTGAATGTACGCGAGCCGCAGGGCGTGAGGATTACGGTGAAGCCGAAGGTGTTGACCTTCAACAAGGTCGGGCAGAAGATGAGGTACATGGTGACGTTTTCTACTGTAGGTGGTCATGGTTCTGCTTTCGGGGAGTTGGCATGGGTAGGTGACGACGCTACAATTCGCAGTCCTGTCACAGTGACATGGCAATAGATGGCTAGGAATTTCTATTAACGTTTTGGCGAAGATTATAAAACGTGGATATGAATAATCGATATAACATATGACGATATACGATCTGATGTCATAATTAATCCATTTTATTGATATGGGTGATGGTTACATCAGTAGACATTTATCAATCATAGGAAGGTTTTTTTTCCTCTTCTCTAAGATTATTTTCAATCAATCCTACTGTCTTTCACTGTAGTATGATATTAATTTTCTTGATAATATTATTTTATCCCAAAACTGAAAGGTTCTAAATGAGATATAATTTAATTTATGTTCTTGACACAAATGGGTGTGTCCATATCACGTCTTTGAAATGATAGCAACAACCAGCGAACACGTGGGCTTGGTCCTATCGTGCCTTTAATCAATCTGCCCATCTTTTCGTACAATATATATCAACCCGTCACGTTCCCCGTAACCACTCTCTGCATCGATCCACCGGACGCTCACCAGCTTGTCATCCCATCTGTGTGCCCAATGGACTCGTGCTAACCACGTGTCGTATAATAGAGACATGTATAGGAATTGCGGACCCCAGAGAGTATATTGATTTAAGTAGGACGATTTCTATAGAAAATATCTACATTTAGAATATTTTTCAATTAGTATATCTCATTTTATTTTTAAATAGTATCTTTTGTTTAAAAAAAACTTAAATTACTTCTTAAAAATATTTTCACCAATGTTTTGACTTGTTACAATGCTTTGACCATCATAATAAAAATACTTTAAAATTTACTTGAAAATACTATAAATGATATAAATAGACTTCTAACCTTAATCAAATTAATTATAAATTTAAAAATATAATATTATAATTATTAATAAGTAATGACAACTAAAGAGATATGTATAAAATCACTTATAGTATTTTTAATAATATTAATAATATTTTTAGTTAATTAATAAAAAATACTATAAATATTATTAAAAATTAATATATATGAGTTAAATAAAAAATATTATAATAATAAAAAATGATAAAAAAATTAATGAAAAAACTTGTAAAGAATATTTTAGGTATTTTTAAATAAAAATATTATTTAAAAAAATAAAAAAAAGAAAATATTTTTTTTTAAAATCCAAAATATAGATATTAGGATGACTACGGTAAGTAGCATCCGTCGGTAAACATCCGTCTTCTGACTCTCGTCTGGTTAAAGGCCACGTAAACATCTGCCACTGTTCTCGGCGAATCGATTCACCCGACGGCTTTTTCTTGTCGGTTCTTGAGTGGCGAAAAGTCGTGATCGCCGGGTGAAGGCGTGGGCGACTCCGCCCTGCCGATTCGGACATCGCACCCGGGCTTTCTCGGCCGTCGTGGCGGCGTGCGGATGAATAAAGATCATCGCGTTCAAGACCAACTCCAATTCGTCGTGCCTTCCCACCTTCCCTTCTTCTCGAGGAGGAGAAGGTAAACTCACGCCATCTTCTCAGCCACCGACTTTCCTCTTGCTTCTTCCTCACGCGTAAATTGATTCAGACCGGCGTCTCCTCGCCCTGTTTCTTCTGGCCCAAGAAAGCGATCAAGAAGCCGGAGCAGCAGAGCACTGCGTGGTGGGAGAAGCAGAGGAAGAAGAAGTCGATGGATAATCCGTATCCTTACTCTCCGTACGGCTACCCAAATCATCCTTCTCCACCTCCTCCCGTCCCCAACCCATACCAAAGCCCGTACCAACCTCCACCGCCTTATCTCTACCCTTCCAACTCCTTCCCGTCCCCACAAGACCCGCAACCGCAATTCAACCACTCCGGCTCCTTCCACTACCTTCCACCGCCGTCGTCGTCCTACCCTCCTCCTCCGCCCCCTTCGGTCCCCCCGCCGATCTATTCTTACGATCCCTACTGCAGTCCCCAGAACAACCCCCACCCTTACATCTACCCCCACTCTCTTCCCTACGACCCCAATTCCTCCGGCTTCCACCACACCGCTTCCTCCTCCCACCATGAGCCATCCGAGCATGCTGTCCTCTCCGCTCAATCCTCCATCTCCTCCTCCTCCTCGTCGATCTACCCCATTGACGATCTCCTCGCGAACGTCCGCCTCTCCGATCAGTCCTCCGGCGCGACCCCGGGCTCGGTTTCGTCGCATCACCGCCCGGGTGTTGACTGTTACCAGCACCAGTCCTCCTCCTCCGGGGGTTTCTCGCCTTATACGCCGGTCTCCGCGCCGGCGGCGGCTTCCTTCGGCGTGTCGCAGCACGGGGCGATCGTGCCGTTCGTTGGAACGTCGCCGTCGAAAGGCCGGGCGTCGCTGAAGGTTCTGCTGCTTCATGGGAACCTCGACATCTGGGTGATGGACGCCAAGAACCTCCCCAACATGGACTTGTTCTCCAAGACCTTGGGAGACCTTCTTGGTCCTCGGATTACGGGCACCATAACCGGCAAGGTGGAGCAGATGACCTCAATAACCAGCGACCCGTACGTGACCATAACAGTGTCTGGTGCGGCTATTGGCAGGACATATGTGTTGAGTAACAGCGAGAACCCTGTCTGGATGCAGCATTTCAATGTTCCGGTAGCGCATCATGCCGCCGAAGTGCAGTTCGTGGTCAAGGACAGCGACGTTGTCGGTGCGCAGCTCATCGGCGTGGTTTCGATCCCAGCAGAGCAGATCTACTCCGGTCAGAAGGTGGAAGGGGCTTACCAAATTCTGGGTCCCAACGGGAAGCAATGCAAGCCTGGCTGTGTCTTGAGGTTATCGATACAGTATATACCAATGGAGAGGCTCAGCATTAACCATCAAGGAGTTGGCGCTGGTCCTCACTACTGTGGCGTGCCTGATACCTATTTTCCTCTCAGAAAAGGTGGGAAGGTCACGCTTTATCAGGATGCTCATGTGCCTGATGGTTGTCTTCCGGACCTAAGGCTGGGAAATGGGATGCATTACGAACATGGCAAGTGTTGGCATGACATCTTCAATGCAATAAGCCAGGCTCGCCGTTTGATATACATTGTTGGTTGGTCAGTTTTTCACACAGTCCAGCTCGTAAGAGGTCCTGACGGTTTGTCATTTCCTATCCTTGGGGATCTACTGAGATCTAAATCACAGGAAGGAGTGAGAGTGCTTCTTCTAGTATGGGATGATCCGACATCTAGGAACATCCTGGGCTTTCGAACAGTAAGATCCATTCTGTTTCCTATAAGTTGCCTTATGTCTACATAACTTGTATGCTTCAAGTGTTAAAGCATTTCAGGTACTATTTATTAATAGATGATTAATATGCTATAGCCAGAAACAAGCACTTGTGAGGTTACTTTGTATGACTACGACCTTTTTCTTATGTGTCAACTATCTTCTTCATGACTCCTGGCAAAATCTGTGTCAACTATCTTCTTCATGACTCCTGGCAAAATCTGACTCTTGAACGTGCCTTCAGCTTCCATATTTCTGTCCCTGTCGATGGAACACCACCCTCATTAATCTTTGTCTTCGACTAATGTAATTAATCTTCATATTGTTTTTTTTCAGTTTCAAGAAAATTGATTTCAAAATCATAGATGAAAACTTTTCTTTGAATCTTTGCATAACAGTTACTTTCATTAAGAGTTAAACCTTAACCTAATAGTTTGACACTCATAGGAAATTCTGTAATTGCGGGAAAATTTCCATGGCTTTCAATTGTGAGGCTGTACGCCTAATAGTGAGATTAGATATTCTCTTTCTTTTAATTTTGATTCAAAGAAAGATATTATCGTTTCTGATTTAATCAACTGGAACTGCAACCTTCTGGAAATGTAGTTTCTCATTCAGATAAGCTTATGTTGGAATCTTGTTTCTTGTGCATGATGATGGTTTGGAGCAAAGGATCATGTATACTGATGCTATGTTTAATGTGTGTATCGTCAGATCTTTTTTGTTTTTTGCCAATTAGTTAACTTTCAAACTCCCATTGTGATCTGTTATGGTGCTCTAGCTTCTGTAGGTTTTTATTAAAAATCACTTGATCTTTTTCTCACAAGAGTGGCATATGCAGAATGGCGTAATGGGAACCCGTGATGAGGAGACTCGTCGTTTTTTCAAGCACTCTTCAGTGCAGGTGCTGCTTTGTCCTCGCTCAGCTGGTAAAAGACACAGCATTGTAAAACAACAGGTTCCTACCCATCATTGATTTATTTCCTTGATCATTGCATGGAAATTGTTATTGTCAGGTCTATTTTTGTCACTCTGTTGTGCTTGGTGTATATATAGCTCCCAAATCATTTATATTATTTCTTACTCCAAGAATTTGGCAAATGTAAACTATTGAAAATATGATTTTAGTCATGGCTTGCTGTTTTGTCGAATGGGGTTGTGCAACATCTTTTTTCACGTGACATGCTGTGTGTGTCAGCACATCTCTGTTCGTGGCATAGTTAAAAAACTGGCCTGGTCATGTGTTGGTATATCATAGCAAGAGATGGCAAATTTTGGCATGGCTCAACTACAAATGTTGTGCCACAAATATTTTGTAGAAGACTTATGAATCAATTGAATGTTCTACAAATCTGCATAATTGTCTCACACGAAGAATAAAAGATATTGTGGCCTCTCTGAACATATTATGTGGAGATACTGATTTTACTTTCCTTGATATCAGGAAACAGGAGCTATCTATACTCATCATCAGAAACAAGTGATTGTGGATGCTGATGCTGGTAATGGCAAAAGAAAAATAATAGCATTTGTTGGAGGGCTTGATTTATGTGGCGGGCGATATGACACTCCTAAACATTCTTTGTTCCGGACACTGCAAACACTGCATAAGGATGACTATTATAATCCTAATTTTGTGGTAACATCTCAACATTCTTTATGTTGATAACAGTTTTCATCTTGCTGATTATTTTGCTCATATGGATTGACTTCTCTTTTGCTATTTTATTAAACTAATTGGCAGTTCATACTGTGAAGGCAGAATTTAATAAATTACATAATCAGTAGCAGTTTAGAACACCTGAAAGAAGGGAAAAGGAAAAGCAACTGTACTGTTGGAAAGTGGTTTGGTAGGTAGCTATAATGATTCAGTTGTTGTGACAAGAGACCATAGTTCCAATACAAAATGGATGGTTCATTGCACAAGGCTCTCACCAATGTGGCATTTGAGGAGAGTAAATCTTAGCATAGTAGCTTCACTCCAATTTGAGAGGCTATCTCCACAACTCGAACCTTGATCACCTAAGTCACGAACAAGCAACATAATCATGATACCCAAGTTATGAACAATGAATAATTTCTAATTTTTATTGCTAAAAACAAGATGGATTGGCAAAATTAATGTGATTTTTAGATTTCTATAAACAAGATGGATTGGCTTATGCTTCATGTTTGAAAGCTTCTCGTTGACAATCCCAAATTTTTCTGAAAGAGCTTGAATTTTTTTCTCTTTTTGTAGTGAATTCCTCACAATCATTCATGTGTCTGAAGACCTTAAAAGCTACCTACGTATCATCCTGGATGAAATTAAACTCTCCTGACCTTGTCCAAAATAAGCAAGTTTTAAACAGCAGTAGAACTCTTAATGTTGAACAAGCCAACATAGTTCAGCATCAAATCTAATTTCTAGTTAGAAGTCAGCCCAAGAATTCATAATTCTTATGTCAATTATTCATAGAAAATAACACAGAAGTAGATTGCACATTTTCAAAGAGGACAAGACAACAATAAGTTAGTGATCTCAATTGAAGCAGTGCCTCAATCAACAGAAAGTTACTTTTTTACCTTAGCTGAGGCTGCTAAGCATTTATAATTCTGGTTGTCCTACAATGAATTGTCAGCACGTCAAGCTGGTACCTCTACAATTTATATATAACTGTTAGCCCATTGTTAATCTCATCTACTATAACCCAAAAAGGCATCTAAGATACAGCATCATTTCTTTATATGATTTATCATGAAAATTATGTCAAAATAAATGAAATATAGACTTAGGAATTTAAAACATAACACTTGAAACCTGCATAATCTCAGCTTAAACCTGAGTAGTTTAAGCTGCTTCTTGAATCTTGATTTTGTTTGTGTTTTTCATGAGTGTTCCAAAAGTGTAAGCTACTGGTTTTTCTCTTGTTCCTATGTTTAAACTTCTTGATTATTTTACCAAGTATGAAACATGAACAATTAATCCATGCAACACTATTATAATTTGCTTGTTGTAAGTGTGGATAATAAATTTTATTCTATCAAATGTTTCCTTGTAGAATTCTGATGACAGCGGTCCAAGAGAACCATGGCATGATTTGCACTCTAAGATTGATGGTCCAGCAGCTTATGATGTTTTGAAAAATTTTGAGGAGCGTTGGTTAAAAGCTTCAAAGCACCATGGGATCAAAAAATTGAAGAAATCATCAGATGATGCATTGCTCATTATTGAAAAAATCCCAGATATTTTAAGGGTTGATGATTTGTTATTCATGAATGATAATGATCCGGAGACTTGGCATGTTCAGGTGGTATTGTGCTAGTTACTTCCTGAAGTTTTCAAATGAGTATTTGTTTAATGACATTTACATTTCCTTTGTCGAAATTGCAGATTTTCCGATCCATTGATTCAAATTCGGTGAAAGGTTTTCCTAAAGATCCAAGAGATGCTATTAAAAAGGTATATATCGTCTTCATCAATCAATGAACTCTTGCTTTGAAATCTGAATAGTTACCGGTCCTGCTATCTTGTCACAACAAATACGAAAACTTCTGTCCAACAGAACCTCGTTTGTGGGAAGAACGTACTGATTGACATGAGTATCCATAGAGCTTATGTTCATGCCATCCGAGCTGCCCAACACTTCATTTACATTGAGAATCAGTACTTCCTGGGATCATCATTTAATTGGGATTCAAACAAAGACTTAGGTAAGCATCAACATGGCTTATAATCAAGTATTTGATTCAGAAGCATGCCTTGTTATATGCATAAACAAATTTCATGGAATACATTGTACTACAACAATAGAAAGCAAACTTATTTGCCTTTTATTAAAACAGACATCGGATATTCTGATAGAGAACTGAAGCTTATTAATTTACATAATTTACAATCTGCTACAAAATTCTAATTAGATAAAATTAGTTTTTTTCAATTTGTTTTATAGCTTGTTTTGGATTTTGCACTGTCTTTTACACTGAATAAAATGAGATATTTTATATGTTCTCTTATGGGTTTTTAAATTACTTGTCATCAGTAAGTTACAATATTCAACTATTAAGGATTTGATTGAGATTGCTAAGGATTTCAATTGAAAACAAATTAATGGGAATGAAAGTGTAATCGGTCATCTAGTTATAATGCTTCAAATGGTCTTCAGCAGTCAGGATCAAGCTGTCAATTATGCTGCAGTAGGTACAATTATCTAATTTGTTAAATGAAATATCTACCAGCATTTATGATGCCACAGAACTTTGTGTGGACTGTAGTAGACTTTCTTGTGACGTTATTTTTCTCGGTTGATAATTTTAGAAGAAATGGAGGGTTTTTGCAATGGGGCTCCAAAATATTAGTTGCTAAAATCGGTGTGCATAAAACTTTTGAAGTTGGATGTAGCCTACTTGTGTTAGATCATTAGTCCTTCGAGAAATTGGAGTTCATGCCTTTGCTTTTTCATGTTTCTGGATTTTGGGGTCCTTATTAGTGATCATGCTGCAAAAGCACTAGAATCATATATCATCAAATCTCTGAAAATATCCTTGCTTGCTGAAACAAAGGCAGCCGACTGTGGTAAACTTTCTGAAAATATCCAAACTTGTCAATAGACCAGAATATACTTTTTTTTTGTCCAAAATTACATAGGAACATATTTGGGTACCTAGACAATGTTGTGATGCTGTACCTGACTGATTTTGACATTATTCAAGCATGACATTCTTTTGTCATCACTATACATGTCTGATTTTTCATGATCAAAATTTGTATTTGTAATTTAATAAGCAATATATTAAAAATATTAATTATGATTATGATGTAATTTATTGTCAGTATCTCGAGGAATTAGATGATGAATCGAGGTAATCATCATTTGCTGACTAGATATCTCCAAGTTTTTGGGTGAAAATATGTATTGACTTCACCGATAACTTTAGCATTTTAGTTTTTTCTTTTAAACTCTGTTTATCTGTATTTTTTACAATTTTCTATTCAGTCTTTGCCTTTAGCATCTAAAAATGTGGCATAGAAATTGAACTTTTAAGTGCAACTTCTAGTATCTTGCTTGTATTCAGTATTCTAGTACCTTCAGGTTGCCAACCACACATCGGAATATGCAAACTTGTCAAACTCAATATGCTTCTTTGCTAGTTTTACAAGCACATATGTCAAATATGATTTCATAATGTTGATTGCTTTATACAGTTGTTTAGATCAATTATATTTGTGCACAAGTCATTGAGACAAAATTTCTGTTTCAAAGGATAACACTATGTATAAACCTTACATTGGTGTGATCCTTATGTAAATGGCGATGATTTCTTTTTAGTTCCTTGTGATTCCTTGTATTGATCCCATGCAGACAATTTGTCTATGAACTTCATGTTGATTCCTTCGTGATCTTTGACTTGTAAAATGAATTTTGCTCTTATAGGTGCTAATAATCTGATACCAATTGAAATTGCTCTCAAAATTGCTAACAAAATCAGAGCAAAGGAGAGGTTCTCTGCATATATTGTTATCCCCATGTGGCCTGAGGGTAATCCAACTGGTGCTCCTACACAAAGGATTCTGTTTTGGCAGGTTAGGATCTATGTACTTTGAATTAGATTGTGCATCATAAACCTATGATGGTTGTGCAAATTAGCCATAGAATAAGAATTTTTAGTTTTCTGATGTTTTTAGATTAGTCTGGAATTTTCTTTATGATAAGAATGCCCTACATATTTCTTTTCTGTATACCATTATCTATTTGTAGAATATGATATAGGTTGGAAAATTTAGCTGATCATTGATATAAATAACTGTTGATTGCAGCTCTTCACTAGATATCCCTTGGCTATTAGATCTTTATGGATATCAGGGCTTCTCTCATGCTTTTCTTGATAACATTTCATTCATTAATTCACTTGACATGTTTCCATATTGGTTCTTCTGAACATTCATTGCTACTTGATTGTACTGATGGATCTCTTATCATTTAATCATGGGACTGATATTGCCTAGCATGATCCTGTATATAACCATGGCTGTCATGCATGTCGGCATGTGCCAGCCAAAATGGTTTTAGTATGCATGGTATTGAGCTGTGCCAACACATGGCTAGGCTAACAAATGAACATTTTTGAAAAGTTGTATGTATTTTGCAAACTCAGATTTTATTCTCACCTTAATCTGATGAGGATGACCAGTGAATGCTTAATAAACAAGGTAGCAGAATTAGTAAGTGAATGTGCATATTTTGCTACTTACCACATAGTTTTCTTACCACATATGATTAAGCAAAGAATGGATTATCTAAGAGCATTTGTATTTGTATAAGCATATGTTGTATTGTGGATTGCTTCAAACTTGGCAATTATATGTGATTTTGATCATATGTTTCTCTTTTCTTGTATTCCTTATATCATCAACCAAGTAACAATGGTTTGGTAATAGAGGAAAATCCAATGCACACGGCTCATTGCCAGGCTGAGAGAACCAGATGTATGCAATGCAGCATACAGCCTGCCCAGGGTGTGGAGACAATAACAACAATTTGAATTTATAATACCCACCTCAGTATGGAGAACTTTATTCTTGCATGAATGCTTGCCTTCTAATGGTAACTTAGTAATAATATATACTAAGGAAGAAAGGAATATTTTTGTTTGAAATGTCATTATCAATTTATTTATTTATTTTTCTGCTGTATACAATATGCATCTTTTGGTGTTCCTCAAGCTGCATGTCAAATGTATTTGCGTCCTTTCCATGTTTTTAGTTATCAGTGATGATATTTTTTACCTTAACTTGAAAATTGCATTTATGTTACTGTTGATATGGTCTTTGCTGATCACTGCAGAACAAAACTATGCAAATGATGTATGAGACGATCTACACAGCCTTGAAAGAAGTTGGTCTTGAAAATACGTATGAGCCACAAGATTATTTGAACTTCTTTTGCCTTGGTAATCGTGAAGTTCCAGATGTAAACAATTCAAGTCGGAATGCAGAAACCTCTCCTCAAGTAACTCCCAGCTTTTATTCTTATCAGAAACTTACAGTTCATGCTACTGATTATATTTTCCTATTCACAACTCCGCAAGCATGGTTCTATTTGATGGCATTAAGTGGTAAAAGTAGTGAATTTGATGTGTTAGCTTAATGATCATCTTTTTTAAAATTTTTTAAGAGCCTAATGATCATCTTAGTTTGCTAATTATATACGAAAAGTTTTATCAAGTGGTTCGTTTACCAGACTAGTTAGGATCACAATTCCCACAGAATAATGCATCCTCATTGTGTTATATAATGGCCCATTTTGTTGCATGATCTTTAGAAATAAAATCCTACTGATTTGATGATAGATAGAACTCAATATTTGCTAAGAGCTGACAATTGCATGCACTCCTAATTCCTGAATAGAATCTGCATCAGATAGAAAGCAATTATCCAGAATCTAACAGAACAGTTATAACTTCTTCAGGCGCTTGCCAAGAAGAACAGACGCTTCATGATCTATGTGCACTCAAAGGGTATGATAGTGGATGATGAGTATGTGATACTGGGATCAGCAAACATCAACCAGAGGTCCTTGGAAGGTACCAGGGACACTGAGATTGCAATGGGTGCGTACCAACCTCAGCATACACAGGGAAGAAGGCTCTCTAGTCCTCGTGGACAGGTATGGATTATAATTCTAAATCTAGTTGTTTCACTGTCACATCCCTAAGTTAAGTATACCTCTTCTAATGTTTACGGTCATTTATGCATGCTGTAGGCCTATTTCATTACCAAAACAATTGATCATCCGTTGGTTCACTGGGCATTTAATTTTAGAAGGTTGCATTTTGTTTTTTAATTAATCTGTTTCATCAGCTACTTCATCATTTTTAACTTAAGATCATCTTCTAAACCTTCTGCTGGGTCTACATGGGGCTTTCACGCCTTTCTTCAAGCTAGATAGTATATTTAGATAATCAATTGTGTCATCGATTTGATTGGTGGTTGGTCAAACATGCAGATTTTTGGTTATAGAATGTCGCTGTGGGCTGAGCACATTGGAACTATAGAGGAATGTTTTAACCATCCGGAGAGCCTTGAATGCATGAGGCGAGTTCGTGACATCGGTCAGTTTAACTGGAGCCAATACGTGGCCGATGAGATTACTGAAATAAGGGGCCACCTACTAAAGTATCCAGTGGATGTCGATAGGAAAGGCAAGGTGAAACCTCTTCCTGGACACGAGACATTCCCAGACATTGGTGGCAAAATCTGTGGGTCATTTTTTGCCATTCAAGAGAATCTTACTATATGATTTTCTTTTCACAATGATGCGGACCAACCACTTCATAGCTGGGCTAGATTTTCGGTTGCCAATGTAGATTGTTATGTACAGCAGGAGACCATGAATATTTTGATTATTTTCAGCCAGATTCCCCAGCATCCCTTGTACAGGATCAACAAGGTCTGACTGTTAGTATATGCCACCGAAGATTTACTTGATAGAGATGAAACATTGTATACCGATCCGATATGGTGGGTTCACACACTATAATGTTTCTGTGTATGTATGCTTTATGTATCTGTACAGAGCCACTTCATGATAGGCCACTATAATTATCGTACGTTACCAGTTGCATGCCACTAGTTTCTGCCTTTTCCTTTTTCAACAATCAGATCAGTCTTCCATAGGTTGCAAATGTGACTTCAAATGTTGCTACAGGTGCAGCATGTGTGAATTGTTTTAATGCATGTCATTTTCTTTCTCAACTATCATATTAGGTTTTCTTAGGCCTAAAGCATTTTATGTGCCGACAGAGCACAAGAGTGTCTAAGGAGATGTTCAAGGTGATCTTGAGGTGGTATATGTACCAAAATCGATGTTGGAAGAAATTTTTTTTTTACCCGACCTCTTCGACGTTTAAGTTAATTACCGAGGATTTAATTGGTGTTTTTTTTTATTTGAAGAGAGCCCCCTAACACAGCATCGAGGGGGTTAGTTTTTATATTTGATTTCGGAGGGGACAAGCTGTAATTGCCCCAATGTCTCCTTTTGGTATTTTCTCCACGTGGGCGACATCGAGGAGATAGTCTCGAATGATCTGCCTTAGACTGTTGTCCACGGGGGAACACAGGTAAAGGGTGACTTGGACTTTTTCCTTCCATGATAGCTTTCGTGTGATGCTTAGGTGTCGGATGATGATTGATCGTTAATATATTCTCTATCATTTGTCCTTCCCGAAGGCATGTTTCGATGCTCTTGCAAGAGGGGTTCAAAATGCGACGTTTAGTTCATCCGACATGAGAGCGTTCGAGATCTCCTCTCGCATGTCGGGTTTTCTCGACTAACGCCTCGTGTGATGGCGGAGATCGGGTGTTCCGACCTCCATGTCTCAGGCGGAGGCAAGGGTCAGGTGTCCCAACCTCCATGCCTCGCATGACGATAGAGGTCGAGTTTCTCGACCTCCGTGCCTCTTGCAGAAGCGGGGGTTGGGCATCGTGAACTCCACACCTCATGTGATAGGGGAGGTCGGGCTTCCCGACTTCCTATGCCTTTAGTGGAGGCAGAGGTCGAGTGTCTTGACCTCCTCATCTCGGGCGGAGGCAAGGGTTAGGCGTCCCGACCTCCACGCCTTGGGTGAGGACGGAGGTGAAGGTCGAGAGGCCTAAACTCCTTACCTCTTGCGGAAGTGAGGGTCGGGCTTCGCCTTGGGCAAGGACGGAAGCGGAGGTCGTGAGACTTGACCTCCTTGCTTCTTGTGATGGTGGAGGTCAGGCTTCTCGACCTTGGTGCTTTTGCAATGATGGAGGTTGGGCTTCCTTACCTCTGTGCCTTTGGTAAAGGCAGAGATCAACATCCCGACCTCTTTGGGAAGGGTCGAGCATCCTGACCTACGCACCTCAAGTAGAAGTTGGGGTAAGGCATCTCGACCTCTACGCCTCTTATGGAAGTGATCAGGCTTCCCAACCTCAACGCCTTGGGCACATTTCGCCCTACGCCTCCGCCTTAGCAGATTTCTTATCATGCGGGACGGGTTTTCCCAACTCACACGTCTCTTGCACATTTTGGCTCGTATCTTTGCCGTTGCAGATTTCTTCTCACGTGGGTCGGATTTTTTCGACTAACACATCTTAAGTATATTTGGACTGTGCCCCCGCCATGGCAGATTTCTTCTCATGCGAGTTGAGTTTTCTCAACTCATTCATCTCAAGCACATTTAGATTGTGCCTTCGCTATGGCAGATTTCTTCTCACTGGGACAGATTTTCCTAACTCGCATCTCGGGTACATTCGACATGTGCCTTTGACATGACGAATTTCTTCTCACGCAGGATGAGTTTTCCTAACTCACGTGTCTCGGGCACATTTGGACTGTGCCTCGGTTGTGATGGATTTCTTCTCAAGTAGGATGAGTTTTTCTAACTCGCGTCTTTATTTGGACAGTGCCTCCGCCATGGCAAATTTCTTCTTACATGGGTCAAGCTTTCTCAACTCATGCATCTCGAGCATATTTGGATTATGCCTCTGTCATGACGAATTTTTTCTCACAGGGGTAAGGTTTTCTCGACTAACGCATCTCAGGGACATTTGGACTATGCCTTTGCTGTGGCAGATTTCTTCTCATGTGGGTTGGGTTTTCCCGACTCATGCATTTTGGGCACATTTGGACTATGCCTTTACCATAGCAGATTTCTTCTCACATGGGTAGGGTTTTCCTAAGTCACGCATCTTGGGCACATTTGGATAGTGCCTTCGTCACGACGGATTTCTTCTCACACGAGATGGGTTTTTCCAACTCATGCGTCTCGAGCACATTTGAATTGTGCCTCCACTATAATGGATTTTTTCTCACGTGGGTCGGATTTTTTTAACTCACACATCTCGAGCACATTTGGACTGTGCTTTTGCCATGACGGATTTCTTCTCATGCGGGTCAGATTTTCTCGACTCACACATTTTGGGCACATTTAGACCGTCCCTCCATAGTGGCGAATTTCTTCTCACTCGTGTCGGGTTTTTTCAACTCATACGTCTTGGCACATTTGGACTATGCCTCCGTTGTGGCAGATTTCTTCCCACGCAGGACGAGTTTTCCTAACTCACGTGTCTCGGGCGCATTCGACCTTTGCCTCTGCCATGGCAGATTTCTTCTCATGCAAGACAAAATTTTCCAACTCACACATTTCGGGCACATTTGGATTGTGCCTCTACCGTAGCAGATTTCTTCTCATGCGTTTTCTAGACTCACGCATCTTGGGCACATTTGGATTGTGCCTCCATCGTGGAGGGCTTCAAGTCCTTCCTTCGCCATGGTGGATTTCAAGTTGTCCCTCTGCGTCTTTGGTACATTTTGGCATGTCTCTCTATCGTGGTGAGCTTTGTCTATAGGTGCCTTGATCAACGACTCCATCTGCTCCAAATGTGAGTGGGACTTAGCAAAATTTTGAGGATTGATCACTGATGCCTCAGATTGGGCCTTCTTCGGTAGGGAAACCACAATTAGATAGCACTAGCGCGACTCCCTCGAGTTACTTCTTAGCTTTTCGATATCGATCCTCGTTGGAAATTTCATCACCATGAATTTGGTCATCACTGTTTTGGAGTAGGGCTCACCCCCAAACGTGACGTGTAGGCTATGTCAATCATGACCCTCTTTACTCAAGCGTTAATTATCCTCATGGAGATCATCAAGGCATCATCATGGTTTGGGTCAAGGTACCCTATCTCTTCTTCCTTTAAGGTTCTTTCTGAGTTGTCCTCGGATCTCAGGCACTTTTTGATAGTAGCCTAGGCGTAGGCTTTGCGACCCGAGGAGCTATCTCCTCACAAGATAGGTCCACTGATGATGACGTTGATCTGCATCTCCATTAGCCCTTGAGGTCAGGGTGAAGGTTCCCAATGCCTCTGGACGAACATCTTAAGATGTTCCTGGCAAATGAGTTCTTCGATTTGCTCCTTCAAATCATGACAGTCCTTCGTATCGTGGCCATAATCATGGTGGAGGAGGTAGTACTTAGATTTGTTCCTCCTCTCCAATAGTGTCTTCATTAGTTGAGGGTCTTTCAAGAGCCATTTCCTTTATCTATAAAAAAGGCTTTAGTTCTAGTTATGTCAAGTGAGTCGACTCAGACCTTGGGCGAGGTAGCTCAAGTCAGTTATTTCTTGTTTGTCTCATGTTCTTTGCTAGGGCGGTCATTCTTTTCTTCGTCATAGTGACCTTGGGGTCGGGACTGACGATAGTCACTCCTATCTCAACTGTTTGCGTGTCTCCTCGTGCTTACTCGAGACCATTGCCTCAGCGACAATATATTGGTTGCCCTCTGGAGCATCTTGAGCACCGTCGTCAGTGGCCTCTCCACCAACGACCAGAAAAAGCGACAGGGCTTGAGCCCCATCATGAAGGCCTGAATTACAAGCGATAGATGTGCTTCTTGCATGCCTTGAATCTCGTTAGCAAATCGAACGACGAAGTTGGATAGTATTTCTTTCTCCCCTTGCTTGAGCCTGAGAAGCATTACCGTCGATGGTCTCAAATGCACATTCTTAAGGAAGTAGAGCTTAAACTCCTTTGCAAGCTGAGCAAATGAGCTGATCACGAGTGGCTTCAAGTGGGTGTACCATTCTCATGTCGGGTCTCTTAATATTGTCAGGAAGGCGTGGCACATCAGGGCATCTGAAGTGCCGTACAATAACATCTGGATCTGAAAGGCGATTGTGTGCTCTATCAAATCGGTACTACTATCAAAAGCCTCCAACGATTGGAGGTGAAAGTTCATAAAGATTAGCTCCTCCTGGATGTTCCAAGTGAATGAGGACTGACCCTAGGTGGGATCGATTGGACTTTCCCCTATGGATTGTTAGAACTCTCACTGCATCTCTTCTAAGCATTGGTCCATTTATCATAGTTGGATCCTTAGGGAGTCATCCATGGAATCTGTCGATTGAGTATCAAATTCGGGCAAAGCAGAGCAATGGTGTGATGGTGTATTGAATTCCATGGTTCCAGAGCGGGGCGCTCCCTCGACTGGTAGTTTCACGGGCCTTGGGTGATCCTAAGATGCTGGCACCGCATCGAATGGGGAGATCCCGACGGGCATCGGTGCCATTGGCGATTGAGGTATTGATCACGACTATGATGGTGTTGCTTGTTGCGATAGCATAAGTAGGAGTGGGGCGATAGCTTACATTATGCCCATTAGCATATACTCCTACCAAGTGAGGTTCAGGGACACCTCGACGGGGACAAGTAGGTTGCTTAAGGTTGTCCCTTGAGGCGAGAAGCTTGTGTCATTGAATAAACGCTAATACCACACCAACACTTGCGCCAGAGTGGATGTATCCACGTGTGGGAAGGATGACAACTACCCCTGAGTAAAGGTGCTATGGGTCAGAGGTAGGGCCACCTCGCTTGAGCATTTATTGAGAGGGTTGATGGGTAGACGTTCCTACGACTTTAGACACTCTTTGCGCTAAATCGTCGTTGACGTCTAAGTCAACCCGATATAGTCCAAACCCGTGGGCGCATGAGTGTCCAAGGTGGCTCTAAGATGGCCATGAGGTGGCCCCAAGGTGGTACTTGCACTAAGACCGATGTTGGGAGAAATTTTTCGACTCGATCCCTCTAACATTCAAGTTAGTCATCAAGGACTTAGTGG